TCTGGCCTTTGGGGTGGGCCATCCTGAGAACTTCCTTTTCTGGGCCTTAGGTTGACCCATCTGTGCAAAGGGGCTGATAATGTCCCTGTCCTCAGGGTGTTATTTGGATGCAGTTCCACGAGGTGATGTCACATGCTGAGCGGGGGGAGGCGAGCGCTTTGAAATCCTCAGAGTTGGCAAAGGCGGAGGCCGAGGAAGCTGGGGCCCCGTGAGCTCCCTAGAGCCTGAGGGGTGGGCCCAGGGTCCCGCAGGTCTGCCTCCCCTGGAGAGGGCCCTTCTAAATGAGCTCCAGGGTCTCTGGGGGCTGGTGGGGTCCTGGCAGAAGGCCGCCTGAAAGGACAGAGGCCTGGTGGTCTTGCTGTGCTGACCACAGGCTGCCGACAGGAGGGCTGTAGGCGCGGTGGCAGTCAGGCCCGTGGGAGTGCAGACCGTGCTGTCCTCACCTCCAGGCTCTGGCTCTGCAGAACCCGGCCTTTTCTTTTTTTCTTTCTCTCTTTCTTTTTTGTGTGTTGCTGGAGATGAACCCCAGGCCTTGTGCACACTAGAAGAGCCACATCCCCAGACCTTTAATTCTGTTTTGAGACAGGGTCTTGCTAAGTTGCTGAGGCTGGCCTTGAACTTGCAGTCCTCCTCTCTTAGCCTCCTGAGTAGCTGGGGTTCCAGGTGTGGCCACCACAGCAGCCAGCTCAGCCCTCAGAAGGCCACAGCCTGCCCACCAGCTGCTCCATCTCTGGAGACACGAGCCATTGTTATCTTTGCCTGGTCCTGAGTCCCCTTCTCCCACAGGGGCTCCATGGACCCATTTTCTTCCTTGCTGATGATCTCTTCCCCCTCTCCCCAACTTTCCTGCGGGTAGAACTGGGGTCTCTGGTCACCATGTGGCACCCAGCCCACCCGGAGCCCACACACGAGGTTGGCAGCTCCTGCTGGGTGCTAACCCCGAGGCCCAGCTCTTGGCTGGTGTCCTGTTTGCCCCGCCCACAGCTTGCCGTCCCCTGGCAGGGAGGTCTCTGATAGCACTGCCCCTCTCTGCAGCATGGTCTCAGATTGGTCTTCTGTGCCTGCAAAAGCATTTCAACTTCAGGCACCGTTTGGAGTCCAGCCTCAGCTGGGTCTCCTCAAGGTAACAGGAGGAAGTGAGGCTCAGGGTGCCCAGGGGCCTGCCCAGGGCCTCCCTGTGGTAGGCGGGGGCTGGAGCTTGGCCTCTGGCTCAGGACAGTGGCTTTCCCACTGCAGCCTAAATCCGCACCTCACACCTGACTTGACAAGGACCCCAAGACTCTGGCTCTGGTGGGTTCTGTCCCTTCAGAGGGGGGAATCTCGGTTCTTGTCCTCAAGTTTTCAGACTAAGGCATTTCCCATGGGACTTTGGAAGACAGGGAACCCTCCTGGACTCTGGGCCAGGTCGCCCCCTACGGGACCATCCTGGGAATGCTCCTAGACTCTGGGCCAAGCGTGGCCCCTACTGGACCATTCTGGGCCCATGTGGGACCTCGGGTTTGGGATGAGGGATCCCACTGAAGGGCAGGACAGGACGTTTGTGGAGGACCAGGCTTTTCCCGTGCTCTCTCATTTAATGCCCCCCAAGTCTCCGTAGTGTCTCCAGGATGCAGAGGGCCTGAGCTAGGACAGGACCCTGAGGTCTTCTGCCAGAAGATGCCCAGGAGGCCCTGAGTGGGCCCTGGGCGCCGAGAAGCCGGGGTGTTAGGAGGAGTTCTCGAGCTTCTCATGTGTCTAGTGCGTTTCTTGGAGATGCCCCATTTTCTCAGGCCCTCGTTGATGATGTATTGGCGTCCCCTTCATTTTATGGCTGAGGAAAGGGACAAGGCCAGGCCAGGGCCCCCTCATCCACAGTGTCCTCCCCTCCCCTGCCCTGCCTTCCCCCCCCATCTGCCTGGGCTCAGAGAGTGGGCTTGGGGCCCAGCTGGTGTGCCTGTCCTCCTGGCCTGGGCTCACCAGCCCTGTCCCTGCCCCAGGGGTGGACAGGAGCCTGCTCTATGAAGACCTGCACCGGGACAGGGCGCCTCGGGAGGCCGAGGACCTAGGCTGGAGCTCCAGTGAGTTTGAGAGCTACAGCGAGGACTCCGGGGAGGAGGCCAAGCCCGAGGTGGAACCCGCCAAGCACCGAGTGTCCTTCCAGCCCAAGGTGAGGGGCCCGGGGAGTGCCTCTCAAGGTCAGGGCACCCAGACCCCTTCAGGGAGGGGGTAAATGGGGAGTGAGGGCGAGGACCAGGGTCTAGATCAGCATTTCCTGGGAATGAACGCTGAGAACGAGCGGCCCGGCCGTCCCCGGCCGTCCCAGAGCAGCTGATCCCTGGGCCTTGCTCTGTGGCTGTGGGGAACCTCAGAGCTGGGGTGGTCGTGGTCAGTGCTGGCCCAGGGCCACCCCCACCTTTCCTGTGCACACCCAGCCAGTTCACACTCAGGGCCCAGAGTGGACTTCAGAGTCATGCTCAGCCCAAGGCTCCCAGTGGTTCCGTGGCTGGCTGAAGTTGGCCCTGGGTCCAATCAGTGGTCTCCCTGCCCTACAGGGTGCTTTCTGAGGTCACACTTAGGGCCACACTGCGCGCTGTGTCCTGGGAGTAAACAGGTGGCAGCGTCAGAGCTACCTGGAATCTCCTTTCCATGGCCTCTCACGTGGCATCAGGGCTGCTGTGGTGTCTGTGGAACGGGGCTCCTCCTGCCTATGTCACGGAGGGAGCCACTAAAGCCCAGAGGAAGCCGACCCGCCTGTGCGTCCCACGTGGCTCTGTGGAGGCCACCAGACGGCGGCTCCGAGACATGCAGCTTAGTGGAAGCAGCTTCTTGCAACCTGCTGGCCAGAGGTGACAGGCCCCTCGCAGGCTCCTTCTGAAATGACCGACAGGCAGGAGAGGCCCCTCTGGGGGCCAGTCCTGTGGAGGCAGGCAGGGCCCAGAGCAGGGCCAGGCAGCTGGGATGGCGCCGCTCAGGCCGTGTCTGCAGCCCCCGTAAGGCTTCCTGCCCACTCCTGGGGTGTGGGTCCCTGCAGTCCCCAGCAGGCCCCAGGCAGCCTTTCCTCGGCCAGGACACACTTCCCAAGGCCTAAGCAAGCGGCGGGCTGAGGGGACCTGTCTGAGCCCCTGGATTCTCAGGGCTGGGCCTTCATGGCTGCGCCACAGAAAATGCCCTGGTGGCTCGCTGACCATAAAGTGACGCGTTTTGACCCCACTGTGTGCCAGGTCCCTACTTCAGGTGTAGCTGGGGGACATGGAGACAGGCAGGCCTGACCCAGACTCAATGACCCTTTATGGTTTAGGAGAAGTCACCAGTTGTGAACCAATTTGTCAAAAATGAAGACAGAAACTCCTTGTAAATGTGTTGTGTACAGCACAGCCACACGCCCGGCCACACGCCTGACGTGGGTGGGGAGCTGTGGGCCTGACCATGGAGGCTTCTCACAGGACAGGGGGGCCCAGCTGTGTTTTCTAAGAAGGGGCAGCCCGCTCTGCCCTGGGGCAGGACACTTGGGCTATGAAGCCCCACCCCCTGGGCCGTCTCTGCAGGAGGGCACAACCCATGGGTCTCTCTCCTGCTCTGAGTGGTGACCAGCGGACTCTGGAGCTGTGGGCCTGATTCTCAGCCCCTAGAGGTCCCCCTCTTCTCCACGGTCACCCCCAAACCCTGTCTCTTTCTCAGAGGGAAAGGGACGGAGAGGCAGCTTCAGGCTCTCAGTGCTGGCCCTTAGGCCTGCGGGGCGTTAGGATCGGTGGACCCCCTGCTGGGCCTCCCTCTCTGGGGTCTGGCACCTGCCTTCTAACCCGCGCTCTGCCCGCAGTGCACTTTGAGAATCGCTGGGCTGGGCCGAACCTCACGGGCCCTGGGGTGGGGTCTGTGTGCCTCTCACACCCTCCCCGGGGGGCTTCGGACCCTCCTCAGAGGGGAACCTGGGACAGTTCTTGGGGTCCTAACTCGAGGGCTTTTTGTCTGGCTCTGGGCCAAGGCCCGCCTACTGCCTGACCAGCAGTGACCTCGGGAGGTGGGAGGGTGTGGAGGGGCTTTTGCTCTGGTGTCACTTGTGCCTGGGTGACTGCTGAGCCCTGCTGGGCTGTGCGCTCTGGGCACGCCTGCTCCGGGCTGCACGGCCGCGCATGCTCCTGCCCCGCTGCTTGCTGTGTGCCGAGGGCGGAGGCGAGCGAGGCGGCAGGTGTGAGGGACAGTGTGGTCCCGTCCTGGGAGTCTGACCGTGGCCTTGGCACTCAATCTGCCACAGGAGAGCCAGTCCAGCCCCTCCGTCAGCTGTGCTGAGGGGCCAGCCCCAGGCAGGTGGGCTTCACCGGAGAAAGTGGCCCAGGGGTCTGCTCACCTGGTCCAGGTGAGCAGCCACTGTCCTGTAGGCTGCCACTCATGGTGGGGGAGATCCTTCCACTGGTGGACTCCACTTTCCTCCTGCGACCTCTCATCACCAAGGTCACCGTGACCCAGCAGGGCGGGGCCTGCAGGACGGGCAGATCGTCCCAGCAGTGCCAGCTCGGGCTGCAGCCCCCTGCACACCCCGCTCTGACGTGGGCATGTGACCGCTGACCCTTAACAGTTCCTAGCTCCTCAGGCTCTGAGAGGCGAGGGGCGCCAGAAGGCTGAGGGGATTTGTGGCTTTATAAGGTTGAGCTTATTTATAGAGGAATTCAGGATTCTGGGTCACTGTCTCAGGATCCCTGTCCTGATACTTGTATAACAATAGAGACCATTTACCCAGTGCGATACAGTTCAAAAGCAGTTCCACTAGATTTTCCTACTACCCTAGGGTGGTCACTATTATGAAGATTCTCATTTTGTTGTTCAGAAAACCTATGTGACTTAAGCTCAGAGAGGTTACGTGATGTGCTTAGGGTCACACAGCCAGTAAATGGTAGAGCCAAAACTCAGCATCGCATATGGATAAAAACACCTCAGCCATCTCTCTGTCCATCTCTTCATCCACCCATCCACCCATCTGTCCATCCATCTATCCTCCCATCCACTTAATAAATACTGGTCACTCATAATTTTAAAAATAAAATAATATTGGCATTTGTTTTTTGGCTACCTACTAAATTTTGGGCTTTACACTTAATTTTCTCTGTGAGCTATTATCTCAATGACCCTACGGCCCAGTGGGCTATTCTCATGGCCTCTTACGTGCATTTTACCAGCACACAAGCTGCAACTCGGAGAGGGAAAGAGACTTTTCCAGCCAGCAAGTGGGAGCCACAATTTGCATGAAGACCTGCGGCCCCCAGAGCTCACATTCTAGAACCTTCTACGTGTCCGTTATCTGTGTTGGTCTTCTGTGTACTGTACTCAGTGTCCCTCTTGCTTACACAGCTCACGCATTTGAATGTGCGTCTCCCTTTCTGTCCATCGTCATGGGTGTCCGTAAGCCAGTCCCTGCCCGCCCTCCTGTGCAGCCAGCGTCCTCCAGGGCTGCGGGGCTGGCAGTGCTGCTCATGGGAACTCCCGCACTGCGGCCGCATCTCTGTTCAGCCCACGTTCTCGGGGGTGCTGTGGAAGTGCAGTTGGCCCAGGTGGGAGGGTACTCACGGGCAGTGCCGCCCACAGGGCTCTTCTTCCTGGAGAACCGGCTGTTAGGCACTGCCCAGCACGCTCGGCCATGTCTCCATCCACCTGTCCACATCCTCTGATGACCTCCTCTGTCCATCTCTCCACTTGCCCAGCTGTACAGTCACCAGACCAAATCCATCCGATGGCCTGTCCATTCATCATCTACCCCACTCATCCATCTTTCTGTGCTTTGGCCTACGTGTCCACTGATGCTCCTGCCCTGCCCTTTAGGTCCTCCTCACGAATGTGCCAGGAACCTCTGGTTACAAGCCCTACATGGGCCCGGGCTGGGGGAAGATGCCGTGGTCCCCGGAACAGTCCCCTTCCCCAGAGAGGGGAACCTGGGCTCGTTCCCGCCCTGCCCTGCTCCCCAGCGGCTGGGCCCCCTGCGCAGAGACCCCAGCACATTGGCCTGGACGCTGCTGGGCAGACCCCAGCGGGACCGACCCGGCTGCCCACGGGGTGCTGTCCTGCCTGCCCTGTGTCCGCCCCACTTGACTGAGTCTCCTCTCTCCTGTGTCTGTTTGTCCCTCCTGTCCCGCCTGCTCCTCCCGCCTGCTCTCCTCTGCCTGCCGCTTGCGCTCCAGCTGTCTCCAGACCTGACTAGGCTAAAGGAGAGATACGCCAGGACTAAGAGGGACATCTTGGCTTTAAGAGTTGGGGGGAGAGACATGCAGGAGCTGAAGCACAAGTACGATTGTAAGGTACTGTCCGTCCGTCCGTCCGCCCCGCCCCGGCCGGAGGGGCCCTCGCGAGCTGCGGCCACCCATGGAGCCTTTCCGCTGCGCCCGCCCTGGACGGTGGGCCGAGCCCTGGCGCCTGGCTGCATTCCACCTGCCCTGCGAGGGGCAGTGCCCGAGGCCAGCCGTCCCTCTGCGACTCTGCTGTACCTTCCCTTCTTCACCCGAGATGCTAATGCCCACAGGAACCCGGGAGGTTTGCAGACGCCCAGACTCACCCGAGGCCTTTGGTTAAAACACACACTCCTGAGTTTGGCCTGGTGCTGGTTCTGCAGTACTTAGTGACCACGGTGGGCGGGCTGGGTTACGCCTGGAGGAATCTAGCGTGGGGGACGTGGGACCGCCCCTCCAGGATGCTCCGAGAGGCCCAGGGTGAGGAAGTCTGTGGGAGAAACTGCAGCCCCCTCAGGCAGGACCTGGCTTCTAGGTGATATCATCGTGTTAGTGGCTGCTCTCGAGTGAGGCTCGCTGTGTGGCCTGGTGGCCATCACTGGCTTTCGAGGCCTGCAGACCTGGGTTCAGATCCCGGTCCCGCCACTTTCTCTCTCTGTGGTCCTGGCAGGCCCCATGGCCCCTCTGGACCTTGTTTCTTGCCTGTGAAACGGGTGTCGGGAGGAGTGGCCCCCGGTGATCAGGTCTGTAGGGTGCTCGGCATTGTGTCGGCTTCAAGAGAGCAGTGGATGGCGGCCACCGCTGTTCCCTCGTGTACCTCAGGCTGACCGTCCTGTCCCTTGCACCCTGGGGCGGCCGTCTTTCTGCCATCACTGCACCTGAGGCGAGTAAAGTGGTGACCGCTGGTCCTACTGGCAGTTGGTGGCCGAGCTGGGCCTCCAGCTGGGCCTGCCAGGCACCAGCCCCTGAGTGTGTCCCTCCTGTACCCCACGTCATCCGAGCCCGGCCCTGGGAGGAGGAGGAACGGGGCCACGATTACCCACCCTCCCCCAGCCGAGACCCAGGCCCCACAGGTTCAGCCTCCAGGACACAGAGGCCCCGAGGAGCCAGGAGCCATGGAGGGCAGACGCAGGGACAGGTGCATTTCCCAGCCCCTGCCCCTGGCTGAGGGGCCATGGAGCACCCTGCAGACTGATCACCTGGTCCCCCGGAGCCTTCTGGGCAGGTGCCTGCTGCTCTTCCTCTCCAAGGGCAGGGCCTCAGATGAGCCCCCAAGACCCCTGTGGCGGGTCCCCAGAACGCCCCACGGCTTTCCACCAGAACAGGCACTGGGGGTGCGTGGCCCCAGAGAGGACGTACCCTAGGAGACCAGCCGTGCTTCCCGGGGTCAGCCCTGTTCCCTCTCTGGCCTCTCCAGGGCGCTATGGCCATTCCTGCTGAGAGGGCAGGAGTTGTGCCCACAGGCGCGGGGAGGGCTGGGCCCACTTCCCGTTTCCCCGTGGGTAGTTTCCAGAACGCCAGCCTGGCTCGTGGGAAGCCACCACCCTGCCTCTTGGGCACTGCCCGGGCTTCTCAGCAAGCCCTCCTCACCCAGACCCCTGCAAAGCCTGTGGCCAGGAGGACAGGGAGGATGGGGGTCAGCTCTGCTCCCCCTGGGCAGAGTCAGGAGAGGGTTCCCTGGCACACTGCTGGCCTCCTTGACGGCCATGCAGCGGTTACACTGGCATTGGTTACGTGAGGCGTGATCAGTGACCCAGGTCTCAGGACATCCCGAGGGCTCAGGGCCACCTGTGGCCCGTGCTGGCAGTGCAGAGTCCGTCCTTGCTGCAGAGAGCTCAGGTGGCTGGTGCTGGTTGGTGGTGCAGAAGGTGCCAGGGCTGGGCTGGGTGAGGTGAGAGGGAATGGAGGAGGTGCGGGGACAGCGGGCGCCTGCTTCCTGTCCTGGGCATGTGCTTCCTGCGCCTCACGCCCTGCTCAGCTCACCAGGCTGGCGTCCACCAGGAAGCTGCGTCCTGCTCTCTGGCAACTTCCGCTTTCTCCCAGGCAGCGGCTCAGAAAGGACCCTGGCCGTGGGGGGCAAGGGATGGTCCCTCACCTGTGTGCACCTCTTCCCAGTGGCCCCTGCAGCCACCCCGTGCCTGTGTGGCGGGTCAGCTCTGCAGGGCTGCTTGGTCTTGCTGACCCTGGTGGGTGGGTCTGGCCGCTGCCTCCGGGCTGTCTGGGGACACCGAGGCCCGCTTGTTGGGAGTGCCGAGGGGGATCTGAAGCCAGACCAGGATGCCAGCCTCTCCCGGCACACTGCTCCTTAATCTTTCCTTTTTTTGTAGCCCTGGATTAAACCCAGGGCCCTGCTCGTGCCAGGCAATTGCTGTGCCCCTGAGCTCCACCCCAGCCCTTTGCATTTTTTTACTTTGAGACAGTCTTGCTAAATCGCTGAGGCTGGCCTCGAATTTGCGATCCTCTTACCTTAGCCTCGCGAGTAGCTGGAATTACAGGTGTGCACTCCTTAATTCGGCACCTGTTGGTGGAGTTGGCTCTGAAGGAAACGCTGGGGTAGGACCTCCCCTTGCCCACAGGGAAACCCTCGGGCCTTGAGCGCATCTGCTGGCCTCCACTCTCTCCTGGCCTCTGCTGCGCACTCACCCGGGAGTGGGTGGTCGGGTGGTCCTGATGTCTGCAGCCAGGCTGAGGTCCAGTGGGACTGGCAGCCCTTGGTGGCAGGTGTCCAGGTCCTCGGCCTCTCTGATGAGCCACTCTGCCTTTGCTCAGATGACCCAGCTCATGAAGGCCGCCAGGAGCGGGACCAAGGACGGGCTGGAGAAGACGCGGATGGCGGTCATGCGCAAAGTCTCCTTTCTACACAGGAAAGATGTCCTCGGTGAGGCCCGTGCAGCCAGGGTCAGATGCTCAGCTCTGTGCCGGGGGAGGGGGAGGGCTCAATGGGTGGGGCACCCCTGGGTGTCTGACTGGATCCCCAATGTCCCTGTCAGTCTCCACTTGCTGCCCACTCTTCTGGCAGAGGTGGGCCCCCTTCAGCGTCCTGACCTGGGTGTCTTGGCCTCCTGTTCCCTGGCTCACTGGGCCTCATCCATCTCTGTCTCTGCTCGTCCCTTTACTTGTCCACCAGTCTCCAACCAGTATTTATTGAACACCTACTACCTGCCCTGTCCCATGCCACCTGAGGGACCCTGAGATGAATTTAAAGTGTTCCCCCAGGGGCTCCTGGTGCAGCTGGGGGACAGGCATGAAAGGGGGGGTGGCACGTGGGGTGCTGGGGTGTGAGGAGGAGAGTGGGAGGGGGTGGTGAAAGGTGGGGGAGGGGAGGCCCATCATGGGGGGGGTGCCACAGGAGGGGAGGGGAGGCTGAGGACTTGCTGGGTGCCAGGTGCTGACCTAGAAGCTTGGCGGTTCCTCACTTAACCCCTGTAAACACCCAAGGAGCAGGTCCCAGGGTGGAAGGGTTGGCTGGTGGGGTGAGCGTCAGGGCCAGGTCAGCAGGAGGAGGTCAGCAGGGCTCTAGGGATGGATGGGGCCCTTGGTCGCTTCTTCATTCGTGGGTTTTTGAGGCTCCTGTTGTGTGCTGGGAGCTGCCTCCAGGTCTTGGGAAGTGTGCACAGGCTCGGGCAGTCCTGCCCTGGGGGCTGTGGTTCTAGTACAGTGGAGGGGGCGGGGCTGCCGCGTGGGAAGGAGGGGGTGGCTGCAGGAGCCAGTCCCGTGGGCAGCAGTGGGAGGCAGAGGCAGGTGGTGAGAGGGCCCCGCAGAGGTCTCCCCTGGCCTGGCTGAGTGCCCAGGTGCCTCCTGGTGGCTGGCAGGGGTCTTCTGTAGTGCTGAGACGGGTGCAGGGCCACCCGTATCCCACCCTGGGCTTCTCCCGGGACACTTGCTGCGGGGTGGGAGGCTGAGGCTTGTCTGCCAGGTTTGGTGCCCCCTGCCCACATATGCACCTGCCCTCCTACCATCTCCGCCATCCTCCCTGCCCTGGTCACTCCCCACGGCTATCCTCCTACCCATGAAGCCCACCCCTTGCTCTAGGACTGGGGAAGGCCCCAGGGATGCTCATGTTGCCAGGCACTGGGGGGACAGGGACAAGCTAGACCCAGCTGCTGCCTTTGGGGGCAGCAAGCCAGGAGACAAGAAATGTGAGGGCAGAGGCCCGAGGGTGGTGGTCTCTGGGCAGAGCCCTGGGGTGCCAGTCCTGGGGTGGGTGGAGGCCGCCCGGTGGAGCGGACACCAGACAGCTGGGAGGGCTCGAGCCCTCTGCGGAGTCCTGCGTTTCCCCTTCCCCTGCTCAGTGACCCCCTCTGCTGGGGGCATTCACGGCTTCTCTCCAGAGCCATGGCGAGGGTGACGAGGTGGTGTGGGAACAGCCCTGCGTGGCAGGCAGGCCTTGGCAGAGGCATTTGGTGCCAGGACGGTGTCACACTGACCTGGGTCACATCCCTGCCCTGTGGCCTCCTCACTGTGACCTTGCCCAGTTCCTCCCGAGTGTCAGGTTCCTCATCCACAGCGTGGGCTGAGCCCCCGTGGGCCTGCCGTGGTGCTGAGGGGCAGGCGTGGATGCTGTTCACGCCCCTCCACCCTTGGGAAGCACTGGCCACCATGAGAGAGGGGACCGGTCATGGCAGGCACTGTTTCTGGGACACCCTCCCTGCCCTGGGCCCTCCCCACCCCGCCCTTTAACCCCGAGCCTCTCCTGAGTGGCCCTCCTACCAGCGCGTTATTAATAGCCGGGCAGGGCTCGGATCGCAGGCCAAGAATGTTACCCAGCAGCGCGTGGGGGAAGAGGAAGCCACGGGGCCGGCGGCTGGGGTGGGTGCGGAGTGGCGCCCAGGGCGTCATGTGGGCCCGGCAGGAGGGCCTCTGCCACCCCCACCCCCATGCCGTTGTCCGGTGTCCCTCCTCCTCCTCCTCCTCCATCTCCTGCTCAGGTAAGGCCCGCCGGGTGTCCCTGCTCCCTTGGGCCTCTGGGGTCACTGCCACTTCCCTTTTCTTCCCTGCCTCCCGACAGCACCCACCTTCTGTGGCCACAGGGTTTCAGAAGCGCTGAGCAGCAGGGGTCCCATCTCCCGGTGCCAAGGAGGGTCGAGGGCTGGGCCTCTGTCCCCCGCTAGCCCAGGAGCCTCGTCAGACTTGGGTTGAACTTTTCCTTCTTGGGTTTGCATTGTTTTTTTAATGCGGTGCAGACCGCTGCTGCACTCTTCAGGCAGATTCTCTTCCCCTGGGGCATCCAGAGGAAAGCTATTTTTAGTGCCCACGGATGGGGACATGGGTGGCTTGGCCTTTGCCAGACCAGAGTGGCCAGGCCTGAGCATGGATGGTGTCGGGCAGGGCTGATCTGAGACCTGGGACCTGCGGGACCCGACTTTGTGTGGCCTCTGGTGGCTCTTCTCCCCCCGCCCACTTGTTCACCGACGCGCAGCCCCGGGCCCCGGGCTGCAGTGGCGACCACAGCCCCCGAGCCAGGAACCTGCTGCCGCTGACCTGTGTCCAGGGCTGGTCTGAGGTCTGACCAGGGCATGTGGTCCGCGGCTTAGCTGTGTCATCGGCCCGTCTGGCTTTCCAGGTGACTCTGAAGAGGAGGACATGGGACTCCTGGAGGTCAGTGTGACGGACATCAAGCCCCCAGCCCCAGAGCTGGGTCCCATGCCGGACGGCCTGAGCCCTCAGCAGGTCTGTGGGGAAGAGAAGGAGGGATCCCAGTCTGCTCTCTGGGGTCACTATTGGTCTGGGTCTTGAAGGGGAAGTGACAACTGGGGACTCTTGGCAGAGCCCCAGCTGGGGGGGGACTCCTGGCTTCTCAGCCGGTGGCTTTCCAGATTGGACCCTGCAGATTGCACCCTGAGTTTAGGGTACGGTGATACCCAGCCTTTGGAATGCGCCCCCTCCCCTGTGGCCACCAGAGAGGTCCTTGACTGGTTTCTAGCTGGGGTCTTACTTGAAGAAGAACTTGAGTAAAACTGGCCAAGGTGATGGCTGTCTTATCTCAGGGACCCAGATCCGGTCCCCACCCGCTGTCTAGCACTATGGGCCTTTGGAGTTGACACAGCTTCCACCAGGCTCTGTGGCTTGGCGGGTGATGTCCTCCTCTCAAGTGCCACGCCAGATGGGTGGTTTTGCTCAGGGACCTCGCCCTAGTCGGTCTCCTCCCCCACCATGAAGTAGGGCGGAGGACGCCTGTTGGCCTGAAGCTGCGACTTGCTGGACAGCAGCTCAGTGCAAGGGATTTGTTGGTTGGTGGGTGGAAAGCACTTGGCCTTGCTTGAAAATCGGGAAGATAGACCTCTGGGGCCACCTTCCTGCCGGCAGCCATTGGCAGGAGCACAGGGGAGCGTCTTCCTTCTCAGGACACTTGCCGGCCATCACTGGGCAGTCCGTGGCAGTACACAAGCTTCCCACTCTGGTGTTACCTGCCTGACTTTGGAACCGTTTGAGGTGGCATCTCCGGCTCTAGCCATGACCTGCGTTGCTTTGGGAGCCGGCGGGGCTGAGCCTCCCATGGTGGCCTCCTGCCCTCCAAGCAGGACCCCCTCGCTCCCCGGCAGCCTTCTGTTTCCTGGACCAGGCATTTATGGTTGCTCCAGCCTGTGGCTCTGGGAGTGATTTCTGCCTCCTAAGGGACATTCGACAATGTCTGGAGATGTTTTTGGTTGTCATGACTCAGGGTCCCTGCTGGCCTCTGGTGGGCAGAGGCCAGGGAGGCTGCTGAAGGAGCTTAGGATACTCAGCCGGCCCCAGCCAGCCACTCGCTCAGCATCTGGGTGCTGGGGTTCAGAACTCTGCTCTGGGTGCCTCTGGGACTCCTGGGGGCTGCTGACACCACATGCAGCTGAGGGGCGGCTTGCAGGACAGTGGCCGTGTCCATCTGCTGGGGCTGTGCAGACCAGCCTGGGCCTGGGCTGTAGGCGGGGCAGCTGGCAAAGCTGAGGAAGTTGTGTCTGGGTGGAGTGGGAGCAGGAGGAGGAGCCTGATGGACACTCTCCGCGCAGCTGTAGGGGTGGAGTGAGGGTCACCCTCTGGCCTTGGATCTGGGTGGACAGGCTCCCGTCTGGATGCCTCCCATATCTGACTCCTTTTGGGAGTACCACCCCAGCTTTGCTACAAAACAGTCACCTGGGCACATTTTTTTTCCTTGGCACTGGGGGTTGATCCTGGGGTGCTCTGTGCTCTGCCACTGGGCTACATCCCCAGAGCTTTTTTTTTTTTTTATTTTGAGACAGGTCTGAGGCTGGCTTTGAACTTGATCTTCCTGCCTCAGCCTCCCGAGGTGCTGGGTTACAGGTGTGCGCCACTGCACCCGTGTCACTTGGGCAGATTTTAAGGCAATGCCCAGGTGGTGCCTGTGCCAAAGGAGTCACAGTGTCTGGGTGGGATCCAGGCAGCAGCATGTTTTAAGGATCCCCAGGTGACATTACTGCCCCCCAGAGCCAGGGGTGTGGGGCGTGGTCACACGGGGTCTGACGGGTGCTGGTCATCTGGTGGAGGCAGTACTGACCTGTGTTTCCCGGGTGCTGAGGAGGCTGAGGACAAGTGGGGATGGCAAGAGGGAAAGGGAAAGGGGCTGAGGGAGGCCACCCCAAGGACCGTCCTGTGCAAAGGGGTTGCTCAAGGCTCCGTCCGCAACCAGGGTGGGCGCCGAAATCCCAGCTTCCCTGCTAGCGTTTCCCAAAACAGGGGTCACTCTTGTCCCCTGGAGCAGAGGTGGTGACCCCTGCATCCCCGGATATGTGCAGAGGCCGGGCAGACGCTTACCTGGGGACCTGCCCGTCTCCCTGGCCGCAGCCTGAGCAGACGGTGTCTGGGTGGTTGGGCTGCAGAAGCAGCACAGCCCTGCAGACCCCAGTGGTCCCAGGTGCGGCTCTGGGAGGGCTGGACCCTCGTCCTGTAGCTGCTGCCCTGCGTCCCTGGCCCTGCGCGGGTGCCCAATGCTGACTGTGCTTGGCCCGGGCAGGTGATCCGGAGGCACATCCTGGGCTCCATCGTGCAGAGTGAGGGCAGCTACGTGGAGTCCCTGAAGCGGATACTCCAGGTGCGACTTGGGCCCCGGGGTGGGGCTGGGCAGGGAGCGTCCCCGAGGGATACCTCATGAGAGGCAGTTGGGGACCAAGTGACCTTGAGGGGAAGGGGCCCAGAGCCAGTGCTGTATGTATCATGGGGACAGCAGGACTCCAGACAGGACACCAGTACCCCGAGTCTTCCGTGCTCACTGGAGCGAGTGTTTTCTGAAAGGAGTCGGGATTCGGTGACCTGAGAGCGCCTCTGGGGAGCTGAGAGCCTGTGGTCTCTTTCACCCCTGGAAGTGACCGTGTCTTCCTGGCCTCTTGGGGAGCCTGTGGGGCCCAGGCCATGTCTCCCCATCATCCTGGGGCTCCCCAAGACAGAGCAGGGTGTGATGCCCCCTCCTTCTCACATGGGGCCCGGGATCTCTGGCAAGGTGCTTGGGACCCGTCTCTAAGGTGTGCTGACCTGGTCGGCAATGTGAATCCCAGACCAGGAATCTTCTGGGGTGTCAGAGAGGCCACCCGGGGAGGAACAGCTGGGGTGGAGGGTGCCGCTGACACCCTCTACAGTGAGGGAGCCCAGGCCTCAGGCGGGGTGAGGTGCAGACATCAGGAGCTGGCTGGAGAGAGTAGCGCTGGGACCCCAGGAGATGCTGTGACCTCCCCACTCTCTGGGACAGAGCCCCCAGCCCCACCAGCCTCGGCCTTGGGCTCCTCACAGGTGAGTGGTGCGTGGGAGACACTTCTGCTCACAGCCCAGCTCAGCATAGAAGTCGCGGGGTGTGACGGGCAGAGGCCAGGAGTACTGTGTTCATGGAACCTTCTAGAAGGACGGGGAGCAGTGAGGGTGCCTCTCCCCCTGCAGGAAGGATTGCCTGTGGTCCACCCAGTTCCCTCTGTCCTCTCTGGGTTGCCACAGAAGGGGGTGGGGGGGCTGACTTGGCCTCACTCCGCCCACCCCCAGGATTACCGCGACCCCCTGATGGAGTCGGAGCCCAAGGTGCTGAGCGCCCGCAAGTGTCAGGCGGTGTTCTTCCGTGTGAAGGAGGTCCTGCACTGCCACTCCATGTTCCAGATTGCCCTGTCCTCCCGTGTGGCCGAGTGGGACTCCACCGAGAAGATTGGGGACCTTTTTGTGGCCTCAGTAGGTGTCCCCACACTCTTTCCCCGGCCCAGCTAGGTAAAGCCACAGCCAGTCTGACTGCAGGGTCACCCGCCTCTGCCTGTCACCTTGTGGAGTCAGGTGGGCAGGGTCCCCGAGTCTTCCTGGCTTAATCCAGGGGTGGGTACAACACCCTGAAGTGCCTGGGGTGTCCTCAGAGTGGTCTGCCTGACCGTGGTGCCAGGGCGTGGTTTTGGCTCTGCCCACTGTGGGCAGCCTCTGGGCAGGTGGCAGGCTCCCTCACCAAGCACTGGGGTGACCTGCACCGCTGTCAGTCCTGGCCTCAGGAGGAGGCCCAAGGGTGGGTGAGGAGCCCTGGTCAGGGTCCCGTCAAGTGGCCTCGGGCAGGTCCCCATCTGTGGCGTGAGGGGGGCTGGCTCTCCAAACTGAAATTGCAGGGCTCCCGGGATTCTGGGAGGGGAGAGGCTCAAGTCCGTGGGCTCCACTTGATCTGTTGTAGGTCATTGGGTTTAAAAAGTGGCTTTGTAAACTGTAGATCTGCTCAATAGACTTGCCGTCCTGGGTGGGTGGGTGGGTCCAGGGGCTGTGGGTGTGCTGCCCGGTGGGGATCAGGGCCACAGTCCCTTACAGTTAGGGTTGGGGTTAGTGGAGATGCATGTAGTAAAAGTCAGGTCCCCACCCTCCCCTCCTGTCCTTCCCTCTGCCTGTGGAGGGGCCCAAGGCCCCCAGCCCCTGTGGCCTGGGACAGTTTGTACCTCTCTGAGCCCTGTTCCTCACCTGAATGGGGGACAGATCCATTTACCTTGAAGGCTTGTTGGGGTCACACGGGCTGTGCCCTTGAAGCATGGCCCCGAGATAGCATGGGGTGGGCGCTGGCTGCCGCCTCTTCCCTGCTGACCGGCCCTGCCCCCCTGCAGTTCTCCAAGTCCATGGTGCTGGACGTGTACAGCGACTACGTGAACAACTTCACCAGCGCCATGTCCATCATCAAGAAGGCCTGTCTCACCAAGCCCGCGTTCCTCGAGTTCCTCAAGGTGGCCAGGATGCCCGGGCCCCTCTTGCCAGGGCGTGGGCAGGGGGTTGCTCAGGAGGGAGGGTGTTCGAGTGCCCAGTGTCACAGTGTGACCCTTGGGGGCCCCACTCCCATGGGAAAAAGTCCCCCCATGCCAGGGAGGGCGAGGAGGAGGTAGAGGGTCTGGAGGGCAGCCTGTGTCATCACGTGGGTCCTTCACGTCCTGAGCCTCGAGTAGGTGCTCTGCGGTGGGACCTCCCTGTGGCCAGTCCTGCTGGCCTGGCCTGGAGGTGCAGAGTCATGCTGCTGCCCCTTTGCAGAAGAAAAGGACGGTCTCCACTGTGGGGCTTCACACCGGAGAGTAGAGGTGGGAGGGCTGGGAACCTCAGGGTCCTGCGTGGCCCTGGCCGCGCTCCCTGGCCGCCCCTGGGAGTACAGTTGGCCGAGTTGGCCCAGCCTGCCGGAGCCCCCATCCAGCAGAGCCAGGGGGGCCAGGCTTTCCACAGGTCCTGGCAGGGGCGGGTGGGACAGGGTGTTCCAGGTGTGGGGGTCGTGGGGCAAAGGTCAGAGGCAGGAGGCTGGAAGGGAAATGTCTCTGGCTTCCGGGAG